TAGTAAGTACGGCTCGGGTTTTTAGTGAAGCGAGCGTTACCTGAGGCGCGCGTGCGGCGCCGGGCGCAGACGGAATGGTGGGTTCGATGTGTGCGGCCGCGAGGGCGATGTACAAGGCGAGGAGAGTAATGAAGACTTGCATGTTGGAATGTGAGGCTTTGAGTATGGGGCAGCCGTTGAATCTTGATTACAGACAATTTATAACCAACTGGACCGGCGTCATGTCAAATTCATTGCGGCTGGAGCCGCTCGACCGATGTTACGGCCCTGGAACCAGAGATAGTGGGACGCGCCGCGCCGCTATCCTTGCCGCGGAAACCGTGGAGTAAAATTAAATACGCACCGTGTTGGTTTGGATCTTGGCAGATTGAGACCTCCCTCCAGCAAGTTCCTTCGGGTTGGAAGGATCCAATACAGACCAGGCTGTGCGGCCACCACTCAGCATACTTCCAGATACCTGCTGAAGTTCGAACATCTCCACTAAATCGGGAGTTGCTACGGGTGCGATAGGCAAGGAGGGGGCAAGGACTCGGAGGGACAGTGTGATTTTTCTCCCTCGACGTCGATAAGGCTGAATTGAGGTCCGGAATCCGCATCTTGTGACATTCGTTCCTGCGTACGATGCTCATCATCTTGCCGGTGGAGTGTTACCAAGTGGGGGTATGTCTGCGATAGATGCAGAGAAGTTTCTGCAGAACTACACCCATTACTGTTTTCGGCCGAGGTACCGGTGTTGAAATCAGTTGAGTCCCCAGTGGTGTCCTTTGTGTACGGGTTTCCCGGACGATTGAACCTACTGAAATACAGGGACAGTTCATCGTGGCTCACCCCATGCAGCGTGACTATATGCATTGATACTATATCACTGCAGTAGACTGTGGTGCGTACCCGTCCGACTCGGGAGTGGGCGATGGCTTGAATCTATCTCGAGCTAATTTTCTTTGGGCAACTGTGTCCACTTTTCAACATTGAATTCGGAAATGGCTGACTCGGTAAAGTGCGTATGTTGCCAGTATTGTCCCAAGAGTCGGTGAGCACTGGAACCGAATTGAACCTTGCCAAATCGGGGGAATGTGGCGCAGTGAGGCTCGTTCGACTCCGATCCAATTGGGTAATAAGCACAGGAATAGGGTACTACCAAGGTTTTCATCTTTCAACCAACTTTCAAATATGCTTCCCTCTGAACACGCACCAGAGACCTGACGAGCGTCCCTGGCGGCCCGTCACGCGGCTTCTTACGGTTAACATTTCAGTTTCTGATGACAAAGTAGTTGTCATTCTGTATCGATTTCATCTTTCTGTCGCAAAAGTCCGATCTGAGTTGTAACTGATTTTAACCAATTTCCATGATTACATCTTGATTGAAACGAAATTATAACCCAATTGTACCCCGATTTTGACCAGTTTGCAACTGGTTCTGAGGACAGGGAAAGCTTTTAACCCATTGTATCCACACCCCAGCCTGAGACTTCCCCGAACACAAGATATATCAATTACCGGCTCTCAGGAACCAATCTTGGTCTACAGTCATCTCAAATCCAAGGGAGGGAATGCCGGCGGCGGCGCGGACGGGGCCGCAGATGGTGGTGGAACCGTTGGCGGTGAAAACGACGGCGGTGGAGGCGATTGAAGTTAGTGTACACAAATTTCTCACTGAATCAAAGCACGTCGGCCTTGTCGAGCAAAAGCGGTGGGCAAAGGAATTATATTTGTAGGAATGTCTACTTGGATCTGTGGCCGACTCGATGGGTGAGATGTACTCGTGTGACGGGGGGTTACAGAGGGTATGCCGCCGGGTCCCATTCTCGCAAGCACGCCCATTCCATGCACTATCATTGAGTGCGGAGGAAACAGGGTCGACGGGCGGCGAGGCGGCGAGGCAGCGACTGCGCTGGTGCGAGGTCTCTTCGGGGCGCATGTGGCGGGTGAGGGAGTTGTCGAGGGGCGGCCCCGTTCTGCAGTAAAGGTTGGTTGGAGGATGTGCAAGAGAAGACTGTCACGCACTCTTATTCTGGGCCCTTCCTCCCTTAATTCCCTCCAGTTCTCCCTCGACAGCCTCAAGACAATTTTCCAGCTCGACAAGGCGCCCATTGAGGCGAGCGTCCTGCGGAGGTAGCGGTGCAACTTGAAGGGGCTTGCGACGAATCGCCGTTGGGTTATCAGGAGTGCGGGACGCCACAGGGCCGTAGTCGCATTCAGGCTCCGAGGAGACGTGGGTCATGGATGAGGATGAGTAGAAGAGGAGGCGTGGCTGCAGTGGAGGGTGTCGAGAGGTGTCCACTGTCGAGGGTGGTGGTAGGCATCAATCTTGTCGCCGTAAAAGGAAGGCTCCACCCGCTGACGTATATTACGCCCGCAGCACTCAACTCGTGACTCGACCTCTCTTGACCTTCGACCACTACCATCTCTTCTCACCCAGTACGTCTCTGCCGTCTCCCTTGATCTCGTACTGATCGTCTATGTTCGGCAGCTTGGTCACCTCGTCTCCTTCGGTACGCCCCCTCTCGCACCACATTCGTCGTTCTGACATGACTCGCAGGCGTCATTGTGACCCGTTTCCAGTCGCTCATCTCAGGTACGCACTCTTCTCACCAACCAATCTATCGGCTTGACTCATCCCGCAGACTCGGTGCATCTTGATAGTCAGTTGCTGTAGCAATATACTGTTTAGCTTCCATGTCGCGTGCCCGGGTGTGTACTGTGGTGCCCGGGAGGGTAGTGATTTTTTTTTTTTTTTGAGCTGCCAGGGATGCTCGGTTTCAACTAGTTACAATCTTGAAATCAGTTAAAACTGGTTGCAATCTTGAAATCAGTTAAAATCAGTTGAAACCACCATTGTAAGTGTTATAACCGGGTGAAAAAATTTCAGCATTGTAACCAGTTGCAACCAGTTCTGACCCGTTATTTCCCACTTTGGATTTTTGCGACATCTGGTGAACCAGGTTCCACTCCGGGAGAGGCCTCTGTCTGTTTTTGCTGCTCTGTTTGATCTCCTCCTGTGAGAAAAGTGGTTTTTTTTTCTCAGTCACAGAGTCGGCCAGGTGCTCCAGGACCATTGGATTGATGCCCTTCCGTTGGAGGAAGGGGTGGCGTGCGATTCGAAAGCTGTCAAATTTCTCGATGGTTCGAGTTTTACATGAAGCTTGATTGCGGCCGCTTCCTTACATAAAAATTGAATCCTTTGCCTCGAAGTTTCTTGAGTCGGAAGACCTCGTTGAGTCTCTGTAGTACACTGGCGCGCGCGTTTCGAACTGTGGTATCCTTGACCTCGTGAGCACTGAGTCGTCGTCAAACCCTCAAGTTGGATGTTCACCTCAGAAATCCTTCGTCCTTGAACGCGATTCGACACTTTTCTTGCCTCCTTCTCTTTCTTTCTCCTCTTCCTCCAGTTGCGCCGGTCATCGATCCGAATGATCGCTTGATCGGAATGAGGCATTCCGCTTTGCCGGAGATGATCACCACGTTGCGCCCCTATGACGTCCATCACACCGCCTTTTGCCCATTTCTGGAGCGCCAAGACGCGTGGTTTCGCTCTTCCGCAGCACGATTGTATTACATAAAGAGGCTCGGCACTCTCACTCATACCACGACCACGACCACGACCCACTATGCCCATCTCAATCCCTGTCTCCGCCCAACCCGTCATGTCCCTCGCCGGAGCCACCTACGAAAAGAGGCCCGCCCCAGCCTACTACGATGATTACGAAGAATCTCAGTGGGCGTATGACGCCGCACACCCACACGGCGAGCACGGGCACGGGCACGGACCATGCCACAACACGCGGCTGAAGCAATTCCTGCCATACCTCCTCCTTCTTGTCCTCGCACTCTCCGCCGCCGCTGCCACCGCATACCTATTCTACATCGGACTGAGCACCGAGGCCGATGCGGGCGAGCTGCTTCAGGGACTGTTCCACGCCAAGCGGGCTGTCGATGGGACCGATTCGGGAAATTCTGGCTCGCCGTTTACCCGGAATCATTGTGCGTCTCCCGCCTCTTTGTATTGGGTCTGCAGCTAACGCGTCCTTGCTGCGATATAGTGTATCTGATTGTCGTTTTTGTCGGGTTGCTCGTGGTGGTGATCCTGGCGGTCATGCTGAGCGCGTGGTGCTGTCGGGGTGCGTCGACCCACCTTACCTTCTCTTCTGAACGTGTTGGCTAACACGTTGCTTGCAGGTGCCTTCGAGAATCCGCTGTGCTGTCCTTGCTATCTTTGCGCGTGCTGTGGTGGCCTGGGTACGTACTTTTACTCTCCCTTCTCCTTCTTCCTGTGCTTCCTTCCCTCGGCACGCTCTTCTCTCCCTATCTCGTGCCACTCGAACCAGAACTGACCGACACTTCCTCCAGCTTGCCTCGAATGCATCGGATGCGGTCTCTGCGCAGAAGGCGTTGAGCAAATGTAACCTGCTTCCTCGCCTTACGTCTTCCTTCACGCGACGCGCGGGGCGGCGTCCCTGCTCCCGGACTTTTTACTTTCTTCTCCCTTCTTGACGACCTTTTACTTCGCCGAACTTTACGAATGACGACGATACTTGAACGTTGAACTGGAACGAACCGCACTTTGAAATGGACGTTTACTGCACCTACCTGTTTTGTATCCCGCTTTTTTGGACTGTAGCTGCCTATACGAAACGACGATGAATGCAATGTATTTCCTTCTGAACCTGGGTGCCCTCGCGAGAAAAAACAACAACTGGAAAATCCGAAACCTTCACTCAGCCAGCGCCGAATCGAACGGAGTCCCTCGAAGATTTTCATCCTGGGATGAATGGTAGATCCGTGGCCAGTGTGCCTCTGGGTGCGCTGTTTTCCTTGAGGCCAAGTGGATGCATGCCGCCGCTTGTGTAGTGGCGACCCGCTGCGATTCTGGCGTCGGAAAGTTGTCATGACACCGACCGGCTTGAAACATCCGTCCCAGTGAGAGTAGCACCGGTCTGGAAGTCCAATGTCCTCAATGTCCGAGAAAAAAAAAAGACGAGGTGGCTCACAGACACGGTACACCACCCAGCCCCGAATTGAACGGGGTTACTCCACTTGAATTACGCACTTGGAGGACATAGAACTTGAGGCGGATGCACAGTCCATGTGCTACTGGGTGTCTTCTCCCTTCTACCAGGTCCATGTCAATGCAAGGCTTGTTGAGAAAGAAAGCCATAAGCCTGGACAACACTAGTAACTAATGGTATGCTTCCCCATTCTAACGGGGTCCATTTGCTCTCTTGCAATTGGCAATATTGATTTGCCTCTGGCAGCAATCCGCAAGTGTGTCTATGACTCGCGGCAAAATATGAATCGGCGGGAAGGGTTCATCACTCACTGTATTCCGTGGCCCCCTCGGCAGACCCTGCCTAGATCGGGCTATGTCTGCCGAGGTCTGCCGATGTGCCTAAGCGAGGTCTGCCCGACCCCACTCTGCCTAGGTCGGGCTATGTCTGCCGAGGGTGGGTCTAGATCGCCTCTGCCCGGGTGGGGCAGGGTTGGGGCAGGGTTGGCTCGGCCTTGGGGCGTACAATCCTAATATCCATTCCACTGTCTCAGTATCTCTGTGAAGTTCACCGTTGCCACCGAGACGAACTCAAAATTAGCAACTGCCACTTGACGCCTGTGGGAAGGCGCAGACAAGCATCACATTTGCCGCATTTGTAGCCGAAAAGTTCCCCACGACTCACGTCAAACGCTCGCAGGTTCAGTGCGCCTTCCGGTTCATTCTATTCCCGGAGATTGTCCACTAATTTCGAGTGCCAGGAACCCATACCAAGCCTGGCAGACCGAGGCAGACTCTCCCCCAGGGTCGGACTGAGCAGGGTCTGCCGAGGCGCCCTAGGCAGACCCTCTGCCTAGGAGGCTACGGAATGCAGTGACTCAGCCCCGAATCGAACGGGATTACTCCGCTTCCAGTCCTGGAAGAAATAACTTGGCGCAGATGCACAGCCAATGTGCTACTGGGTGTCCTGTCCCTTCTACCAGGTTCATGTCGATGCCAGTCCTGTTGGCCCTGGCAATCACCCAAAGGAAAAAAAAAAAACATGGCGTAACCACCGGAAACCGCCAACTCCGAATCGAACGAAGCCCCTCTGCTGGCAGACTCTTGCATACTCATTGTACATATGTGAATTACCTGGAGGCCCTTCGTCTTTTATAAGGCTGGTTTCAATTTCGAAACGGAATATCTCGCTCGGAATATCTCACTGGATCCTCCTCAGAAGCACGCATCATCCTTCCCATTCCGATTATCACTGCACCGATTCGACCCACAGTCCTGCAGGAACTGAATAACGCCGTCGGGTCCGCCAATACAGCCGAACAGGACGCTTTTCCCGTCGTCGGGCGTGAGATGGTTGTTGTCGAAGAGGCATTGGTCGATTTGGGGTTGGTAGTTTCCTGTAGTGAAGGAGATCTGAGTTTGGGATGCAGGTGAGATGAGCTTTAAGACGGACCTTTGGCGAGTAGGGAGTGGCCGCAGTTGTTGAAGTGAACGACACGAGGCAAACTGTCGAGTCATCCAGTTGCAGCCTCGAGGTGTTCTTCTTATTTCTTGACTCAACGCCTCTCGGAGTCATCGCGCTGCCGCGTATGACTCGTACTTGACTCGTACTCCTATTGTTCTCCCTAGCTACAACCTAGTTACTATTGTTCTCGTATATGACTCTTACCGTATCACGTGACCGTTTCTGTAGGGTATATAAGGAGCGGATTTTCGAGATGAATGCATCTACTTTTCCCCCACTTCTGCTCTCAGCCCTTACCTCTCTCAACAGCAGTAGCGCAGGGGGGCGTTGCAGTTGTCTGCGACGACCTTGCCGATGGCGAGAAGAAGGAAGGATGGAGGAGAGAAGGCTGTATTTCATGGTGGGGTGGTCTGGCCTGCGGCACTTGACTGATACTCTAGACGACGGCTTCATTTATAGAGTCATCCAATTCTTGGCTTGACTCTTCGATGAGCGGAGTTTGAACTCGTGGTGCAAGCATCCTGTCGAAATCGGCAAGTCCAGAGTGGATTTCGGCCACGATATTGGATTCTTAGGCCATGGGATAGTGCCACCCGTGGAGCCCGGGGTCCACTGAGAGGTTCTTTTAGGTGTTCGAAGTGAGCATCCTCCAGCTCGCCATAAGGTCAACCTTGAGGCTTGGAGGTAAGTCTGAGGTAAGCAGTGAGTCGTGACAGTCGCCCACTCCGGATAGCGACATGGGCATTAGCAAGACCAAGAGCGAGTAGAACAGCCGCAAGCCCTAGGAGTCAGGACACAAAAGGAGAGGGTGGCGAGCAATCATCTCTTCCTCGATGCAGTTGGCAAGTTCGCCGTCCTCCAGTGTCGCTGGGCTCATCATCAGCATGCAATTCATTCAAACCGCAAGATCATGAAGAAAAGGTTGTCGTCGTCCTCGTGGAGGTCGGGATCAAGTCGAAATAAACACGAGCAAAGAAGGGCGGATCAGCTGAGGTAATCGGAGTCCTGACACCTCTCGTCCCGCTGTCCACAATCGACCCCCATCGTCGACACTGGTCAACCTCGAGAGCGACGCTGCCTGTCTCAATTCATGTCGCTGGCGAGGCGGCGAACGCCTCATCTGCTGGTGTTTCGATGAATCGACGATCGCGATTCGACGTTTGCCCAAATCGAATTGTTTGAAGCTTCGTCCTCGTTGTCCCAGACGTCCCAGTATGCACTTCAGCGGGATGTCTTCGGTGAGCCACGCGGTTCCCGCTCCCTCATTCAGGAGTCCCACGATGGGCCGGATGGCAATCAACGTTGCGTCGGATGCTGCCAAAATGATGTCTTAGCACGACATCCATGGACCGACTTTGCGCTCGTTCACTCGTACCATGACCACCACGATGCCTGTCTCAGTCCTCTCATTCCCCCAGCCTGCCACATCTTTCGCCGGAGCGACCTACGAAAAGAGGCCAGCTCCGCCGTATTACGAGCACGGGAAAGGACGATGCCACAACCTGCGGCCGAGGCAAATCCTCCCTTTCCTCTTTCTCCTCGTCCTCGCATTCTCCGGTGCCGCTGCTACCGTGTACATCTGTGATGCGCCGTTGACCCCGAATCACTGTGCGTCTCTCGCCGCTTTTGTACAGGGCTTGAAGCTCACGCATATCGCGTCAATCTAGTATATCTGGTTGTCGCAGCTGTAGGGCTCCTCGTCGTGGTGATCTTCGCGGCCATGCTACACGCGTGGTGCTGTCGGGGTGCGTCGACCAGCCGTGTTCCGACCTCGTTTGTTGACCCGCTCCTGGCAGACGCAATCGGCTACGAGAATTCTCTTCGCCCTCCTAGCTATCTCTCTGGATGCTGTGGTGGACCGGGTAAGTACTCGTCCTTTCTCCCTTCTGCATAATCCTCCCTTTGTGCACGCTCCTTCTTACCTCTTTCCCGCCGCTCGAACAAGAACTAACCCGAACTTCCCCCAGCCCTTGCATCGAATGCATCGGACGGGGTCACAGGCGCATCGAAGCATCAACCACTCCATTGAAGGGCGATAAATAAATTGTACTGCGAATGTCATTTCTTTCTAGCTCAGTGCCTTGCCGGTCCGATCAATTTTGCACTTGAAACTTGGAAGTTTGAACGCAGGGAAAAAAGAAGCGATCCCGGCAAGCACCCAGCCCCGAATTGAACGGGGATCCTTCTGCTCGTCGATTCGCCGACGGAATTGAGTTGCAAGTTCAGAAGAATCCTAGGGGTCCTTCTGCTTGTAGTTGTCCTTTCCACAGCATCACCCGCCTTTCTTTGGAATCTGTGTTTTCCTGTGTATGACTCCTGACCAAAGCAGGTTTGGGAACCTCAAGAACGACCTATGCCTATACACAAGTTGGCACCGGGTGTAAAATAAAATGAACCAACCGTCACAGTTGCCAATATGCCGACCTAGTCCCGAATCGAAGGGGACGCTGGGTTCTCTGCAGTTATCCTTCCGTGATCCACTTGCAAATCAACTGGGTGTTCTTGGCCTTCCTCGCGATTCCATCTCACAGCGGTTTTGCTTTCTCCCTGGGACCGAGATGAAGGTCCAAGGGACACGTTTGTAGTCCTGACCGAAAAGTTTGGGCTTCGATCTTGTCCCATCAACCTACAAGGTTTCGTTCAACTCGAGCCTGCGCAGTTTGAAATGAAAGGTGTTGAATTTTTCCCGATACAAGGGACATTTGATCCAGTGGTTCAACAACATAATGATACAAAATAAAATCGACAACATAGGCTCGGACCAGCCCTTTCTTGCGGCATTGGAAATTCTCTAGGTACCAATTCCTCCCCGCAAAAGTACCTAGAGAGATTAGTTCGAGTCTACCGACAACATCGCCCTGCCCCGAATCGAACGGGTTATCCCGCAGATGGCAAAGTTGCGCTTCATCGTGACTCAATGATTGCAGACGCACGCCATGTGCAGCCGGGAGTTTGAACATGGAGAAATATCACTTTATACACCGATATAGTCACCGAGTTGCCTATCTGAGAGAGAACCTGAGGAAATGGATCCCAAGTCTACCCATCGCACCTAGCCTCCTCCATATCACTTAAATAAAGCTGCTCGTTCGATCCGAGCAAGGGGAATGATTGCACAATAACGTTGTTCAGTTTTTTACGAACAAAGACCCACCCGTCACTTCGCCCCAAAAGTAATAACACTAACACTCATCGCAGGCGCACTATACTCAAACGTCTCCCCCGTCTTCACCTTGCCCGTCGTCGGCACAATGAGATCCGGCTCCTCCGGCGTATTACTAGCGGTCGCAGCACCCGTGAGGAGCTGTACCGTCCCCTCGCTTTCAACGTTTTTGAAGGGAAGGACGAAGGTGAGGGATGCGGGGGATGTGTCGATGTTGGATATCTACGCACGTGTGTAAGTAACGGACGAAGGGAGGAAGGATGGAGAGAGGGAAACGCAAACGCACTTTGATTACGAGCTCACTCGTACTGGTCCATCGGGTAACGCTCCAATGCAGAGTCCCATTAACACTAGGGAGTGTGCTCGGCAGGTATTCGTCGCCTTTGTTCAGGCTGAAGAGCTATGCAGACTCATATTTAGCTGAGCCAACGGCCAACACTTTTGATCCCACCTTTTGGACGTAGAAACTCGTAGACTTGAATACAT